ATCTAAAAATTTCCTTCTGTAAGCACAGAAAATTTAAATGAAAAAGGATTTATAGGTTACTATAGGTTACTCTGAACCTTCTTTATTTATAGTAGATGGCGTTCAACACAAACCTGTCCATAATTTTAGTAACGTTTAGTTTTAAACCCTATTTTTCAAAGAAATCTCCAGATTGTTAGGGTATAAAAGAAATGTTTGAAAAGAAATTTTTATGTTATTTTTTTGGCTGTATCCTTATTCTATATTAGTTTTAAATGTTTACCTGGAAATCTTGCTTAAAATCAAACGGCGAATTATCGTTGGGCTCACCGATAATCTCGGACAACTGAGAGTCTGTATTCTTTGTTTCTTCGCATCTCACCGATCAGTTCACAGACATGCACACCCACAGAATTAAAACGATAAGTGCTACTTCATCAAATTTGACTTGTGTACTCCTTTAGGCCTAATTAGACAGCCTACCTTTTTTTTTTTTTTTTTTTTAAATCAAAACTCCAACTTTAACAGGTAGCGTGCCGGAAAGGGTTAAAAGGCGACTAGAGAAAAACATTACAGCTAGTCACCTAAAGCCAAGTGGTAACGAATCACTACTTGCCTTTCAAGTTACCATATTTTAATTCGAGAGCACCTGTACATATCATTAGATTTTTCGGACCAGGAAACATGAAACACCAACTGTCTCCTCGCCGGAAATCGAACCATGGATCTTTGGTATTCTTCTGCTATCAGGACCAGATTTTTAAAAATGTATGTATGCACGTGTGCATGTATGTATGAGCATATATGTCTATATGTATACAGGCACATACATACGTATGTGCATATATACATGCATACACTGATTCCTTATATTGTATTTAAGTACTGAAACTAGGAGCAAAGAAATAAGTAAAAAAGGGAAATGTTTTCCCAAATTTATGATAAATCTATAAATTGTGCTATAAGAATTTTTCTCCTTCTTTATTTTGTGCTTTCGTGATGAAATTAGAAATCACGCCCGACTAACATCGGAAGGTCCAGATTTCGAATCCCGAGTGCTTATACCTGCTCATATTTTAAAGCATCTATCACAAGATGCACCCCCCCCAAAATTCATTTATTGAATAACATCTCCTGCCCTAAAGAGTAAAAGTACTATTCAACTTTTAAAAAAAAATTAAGTTACAGAAAATAAGTCTCAAAAGACTTTTGAGCCTCAAGCACTGATAGAAATGCAAATATTCTAGTGTTCAACTCCTGACATAGAAAGGACATAGTTTAATTTGCATCAGCCCCTGAAAATTGGAAACATAACATGTAGAGAGATGGTAAATGATTCTGTATCAAGGTATATAATATATGGTCAGAAGTACTTTTTATTATAGCAGTGCTGTAGATGTATATAAAAATCGCCAAATGGATATATCATAAATTAAATGCACTTAAACTAACCAGATTTATTATTAAAAAAATAAAGATTTAAATTATTAAGACATGTTTATTGATTTTAAATAAAGCAGCTTGTTACGCAATTACAAACTGATAACACCTGAAAATAATATTAAAACATTTTACATTTTGCTGAATGGCAACACTCTTAGGACTGGCTATTCATAGCTGCTTTCATTGCAAAAATCAAATTAAACTTATCTAAAACTTAATTCTGACATGGTTTTCATTTTTATTGCAAACAACAAGGAGAGTTTTCCAATAATAATGGTTTAATCGGTTAATCTTTGGATTATGGTAACTTGGCGATGTTTCACCGAAAATTTAGCAACCAACCCTGATACAGCAACCTGCTAGTTTTGTTTTGGACGCCATTTTGTTTTCACGAAGTAAAGGCATTTTTTTTTTTTTTTTTTTTTTTTTACTCAACATTTTTTCAACAATCTGCTAGCCGAATTACGCTTATACTAGAACTTTTATGGAACAAAAATGCTTAATCATGACGAAGATTAGGTGCGAAATTGGGAGAAAGTACAGAATCGCAAACTGCTTGCCGCGTTTTTAAGAATTGTACATACACGGTATCATACATGTACATGTCGACTTATTTTCACTTAAAAAACATACCAGAATTTCAAAAAAATGGCATCGTGCACACTCTTGACTTTATCCATGTACACTCCTAAAGTCCTAGCTAGTAACTTTTATCGCCTTACCAAAATGTTGCCAAACTACCTGTTACCATATTCCAAAGATTAGCCGTTTAATCTATTACATTACGAGTCATTCCACATGATATAAGAACTACATGAAACACAAATATTATGACTGAAAGTGAAACTATGATACATTCTTATATCAGAAGATGTATGTATATTATCAACAATTAGATAAAACAATTCTTAATTTTATCAAATGTATGCACATAAAAAATTGCATAAAAATACAGAAGCAGACCATTACAAATATAGTGCTTTTCATAAACTATATGTAAAAGGTTGAAATTTGAAGGCTTTCTAGAAGATAAAGAAAACATCTACATTTTCCAATAATAAATACAACTGAGACATTTCCAAAACACAATAAAGACAGTCCAGCTGGCAATAAGAAAAGCTGCACAGTTGAAATCATATACAATATAATGGAATGTTATATGAAAAGTGAATGAATGATTTTCATTGCATGGCATTTAAGAAATGAATGGTAATATTTACAGACACATATTTTATCAGTGCACTCATTGTTCCAATAAAGTATTACAGCACACAAATTAATCTTCATTTTTGTTTGCTACATACAGTATTTTAATGCTTAGCAAATATACAGAAGTTGAATATTGAATTCTTTAAGGAATAAAAGCTAGTATTAAAAAAATGAGAAATTAACATTTAAAACATGCAAGCAAAAAAATGAAAATTGCTGCAGAATCACACTTATAGATATGTGGAATGTTTTAAGAAAAAATAGCATTTTCTTTTCTTTTAAATAATGAACAAATTCATAAAAGAAATAAATTAATATCATATATCTGATTTAAGCAAAACTAATTATTATTTTCACAATAAATTAAATAACAGTAATCTTCACCTAGAAAATATTCCTCATAAAGCTTCAAATATTTTATTTACGATAATTCAAACAAATAAAAAATTTACATTTAATTGAACAAATAAATTTCACACTATATAACTAAATAGTCTACTTAAATTAGTTTAGGACAGAAAACAAGTACTTTCTAAAACATGTGTTTCAATATTTTTTAACTATATTGAACATAAAAACAGTAATGGCATGCATGAGTTTGACTTAACAAGACCATGCCATCATAATATAGGTGAATGATAATTGATTCAAATAATTGCAAATGGATCAGACAAGATGCTCACTGATCGTGACATTCATCTGATTTTGATGAAAAGTAAAGACAAACATATCTTAAAAAATACATAACACTTTTCAATAAGAATATTTTAATTTCTGATGTATCTTACCCATACATATTTACTAATTTCTGATATCTGTAAAATAGGCAAAAATCAAACACAGATTTTATATAAAAATGGCATTGATTTTGAGAAAGCCACCAAGTCCCACTTCTTCAAAGATTAAAAATAATCTACCAAATTCCATATATTTTGATGTTTACTTAAGGCACAATAAATAAGCAAGACACATCTGGCATAATTCACATTTTTTATGTATTTTAAATAAATCTAAAATGCAGGATTAGTCAAGATGATTGACCTCCATTTCCAGATAAGCATTATTTTAGGTAAGCAAGTTTGTACCTATTAACTTGATATATCAGATGAAAAAGGAAATCTTCAAGTTAGATAATATGTAAGAGGAATGACTTTTGTCATTTAAATGAATCTTTGGCATAGGATCATTTACAAGTGAACTATAACTGACTTCCTAAATCAGTGAATATTCTGCAATGTGATTTTTTAATTTTACAGAGAAATGTTTAAACACATTGCCAACTTTGCTCACTATACTACCAAAGAAGTAGTAATGTAGGATGTGCAGGAATTATGGAAATAATTAAGTTATTTAAATTATGCTTATGTATCCAAGTATGTTATACAGGACACTTGGAAGCAATGTCTGCAAAGTTCTGTTTTTGATGAGAATTAGTATTTTGAAATTTTAAAAATAGAACTATTTCATTCAAACTTTTATTAATCTATATTTATCAATGTACTAAGTTAACCATTTCCTACAACCTTTTCTTTTTAACTTCTTTATAATTTTATATAAAACTACACAGATTTTAAATTTATTTTCCTATATTTTTCAAAATTATTATAGATTCACATTTTCTCTAGAGTAAAAAGTTATTTAACTTTAGTCTGCAATGAAAATTAAACTTCAGTAGCTTTAGAGTCAATGTTTTAAATGTACAAGCCATAATGCTACACATTAATAGGTCAGTATATAACAGCTGCAAAAATTTTAACAAGTATTTAATAATAACAATATAGACAAAAATCATTTCCTGATGTTAACTACTTTATATATATATATATTTAACAAGACACTTTCCAAGATTGCAAGGACGGAAATTATTTAAATTCTAATTAATATTCAGTATCTAACAAAAAGCACACATATATACTAATACACAAGTACAAATATTAATGCATAAAATTTTGATTCAAACAATTTACAGAATAAAATAAGGCATTTTATAATTATATAGGCACATGGAATTCCTCTCTGATTTCTTCGTGAGATTTCATTTTATTTACTAAATTTCTAATACTAAAAACCTTCTTGGAGAAACCTATATATTATGCAATCAATACTCAGATTATTAATAAGTTTTATGTACAAAAAATTCAATTCCATTTTTAAATACTGATACCAAATCTCAACTTATGGTTCTGCTAATTTTAAACTGCTTTGTAGAATTACACAATTTTGATAAACAGCTTAAAATAAGCCTAAAAATGAATAATCCTAATTCATCAGACTTTAATGATAGAATTTCCAAATAAATTATCTTGATACGATTCATCAAATAAAGAATTAAAGATATTAATCAATCCTTTATAATATATATAAAAATTACTTGCAAATTTCACGTTTATGAATTATGGTAATATAATTAGGATTCATACATTGATAAGTATTTATAATATTTATCAATATATATATGTAATCACATAATATATCAGGTATTTAAAAGATAAATTTAGCATAAGGTACCGTATTTCCATCTCTTTTGATATCCTGATACATATATGATATATATTTAAAATATTTCAAATGAAAAATTCTTTATTAACAAAGACAAAGAACTTAAGTTCAGTTAAATGATTTCAAATCAAAACATGGACCACAAAACAAAAAGTAACCAGTAAACATGATAAAGCCAAGGAAAACTAATAAAAATTTGAAAATACAGTAAAAGAAATTCTAGAATATTAAAATGGCAGGTCAGAGGAGGAAAACGTTCATTTCATGAACATAACAAACAGCAGCCTTTTAAATAATACATTACATAGCTATTACCATAAGCTAAATTTTAAAATGTTATTTACATTGCATAATACTAAAAGGCAAGATTAAGCTAAAAATACTAATTCATTCATAAAAAAGTAATTTTTCACAGCAATAAATATATCATGTATTTCATATAAACATTAAAGATATTTCTGTTTCTACAGTCTGCACATATCAAGTTTTAAATACCAGATAAGACACTTTCCACCACAAAATTATTTATACATTATTAATTACAAATGAATTCATCCGACATTCAGATGAAATGAATGTTAAAGTCTGGTAAAAAAATTAGATGAGTTATGATAAAATTGCATTAATGTGAAATTTTTACATAAATTGCCAGCATTTCTCTTCTTAAACAGAGATTTGACAGCATACTGGTCACCTTTTTAAAACCATGAGTATTTACAAAAATAAATGGCACATTTCAGAGCCATTTTTTGATACATAATGCAAAAATACAGTACATTATTTGTGTCCATAACTATTGTATGCAGAGGTTTTATCAATTCAATATTTTCTTTCAAGATGCAAAAGTCATGGCACAGATTTAAAAAAAAAAAAAAATGTTTTACAATAAAGAAAACATATAAATAAATTTTAAAGAAACATATTTTAACACAGTTACTCTAAATTTTAAGGAAAATTTTAACAAGGACTGTGTCGAAAGCTCCGCATAAGAGGCACTAAAAGGCTAGGTGCACCAGCCTGCATAAGGAAAGGATGCTGCAGTAACTCGCAAGCAGTAGCTCGCTGTGATGGATCACGTACTAACATTTTTTCTAAAAAGCCTTGAAGTCTTGGTGACACCTGTAAAGAAAAAAATCATTCAAATTTTACAGATCTTGATCTCTGCATTTTACATCAATGCTGTTTTCCAAAAAATTACACAGGGTTCATAGCCACATTTTAGTTAAAAAAATAAGCACCTATAAGCACTTTTCAAGCACATTTTAAGAAAAAAATTAAGCACCTGTCTACATTATATACAACTGCATAACCTTAAAAGAAAAATTAGACTTGCAATTTAAAATACGAGCGATGCAATATTTATTAAGAGAATGAGCATTATTTCAACCATGGAAAACAATTAACTTTTTTTTTTTTTTTTTTTTTTTAAATTTTAAATAACAGTTCAATTTACAGAATTAGTTTACAATGAGAGAAAAAAAAACTATGCAGAACTAAACTATATTACAAGATTTAATGATGAAATTTCAGTTCAAAATATAGAAAATAAATAATAAATACAATTTATTTTTTCACTCATATTAATATTTAAATAATTTAACTTAAATCAAAATTCTGAACATTTTCTAAATTTTCATTGCATAACAGTTTTCCCTTAACACATATTCCAAGCAAGGTAATTTAAGTAAAAAAGAGGAACATTTCTGAAATCAGGAGATGGGAAATTGCTTCATGCAGTCATCCTTTAACAGTAAAAGCTTAACTAACCCGCATACTCGGAAATTGCCGAATATTCCGTATAGTCGAGCGTAACTGGAAAAAGAGGAGTGGGGGGAGACTGTAGCCGTTCTTTAGATTTCTCGGCTAAATAAATGATTTTGACATTTCAATATGTGCATCATATAAAAATAGACCAACGGAACCGAGAAATATTCTGCTTAAAAAGCACAGTAAAACTCTTTTAAGTGTTCATAAATAAATCTCAGACTGAACATCAAAATTAATTATCTCTGCAAAATACCGTAAATGTTATTGCGCAATACGTGTGGCGTAATTCTTCCATACGCGTTATTATGCAGTCGGAATCAACAGGTGCCAGTATTCGGAGAATAAAGAACTAAATAAAGGAAAAAGGAAGAGACTTACTAATCTGGGGTGTTTTTGATTCTAAGATTCTAATTTTGAACAGACTGCGTTAAATTTCCGGAACAGAATCATTCTTCGCTTGGCTTGGGTAGACCACAAAACTTTTAGTCCTATTCAATCCAGATTGGACAGTGACAAAAAAAAAAAAAAAAAAAAAAAAAAAAAAAAAGAGTCTGCTGCTTCAACGGTAGAACCTCTCAACCTCCGTACTGTATAATATATCGGGGGAAATATATTTATCTACACTTCAGCAGCTACTGCAACTATATTATTATAAATATTCATACATATGCTCATAATATAAGCATAACGATCATAATAAACACGAATATGAACTGACCACGCGGAACGAGAATGCAAATTATTAAAATCTTGATAGAAATTCAAACGTGTGTAGTATTTGGGTGAAAGGAAAAGAATACCGAATGCACCGGAATTTTCTACGGTTTTCACAATTCTTAGACCAATAGAATGACGTGCATCTGTCTGTACTCTCACGCACTATAGGTTACGCTAATGCAGAGAAAGGAGGAACAGCTATTTCCGGGAGTATGATTCACCATCTGATGTTCCACATAAGGAAGAAAAGTTGTTTATTTAGTTTCGGCTTTGGTAGGGGGAAATATGCGCATTCATTAAAAATAGCACTAAAAGCAAAAAATAAGCACTAAAAACAAAAAAATAAGGGCTTTAAAGAAAAAGTAAGCCTCTATAAGGGCCTTTATATTTTATTTTCAAATATAAGGACTTATAAGCACTTGTTAGGACCACTACGAACCCTGTTACACAATCAAATTTTAAAATACTTCATAAATTCATACTGTTCATGAATTTAAAAGTATTTAAAATTCACACTGTTCATGAAAATTAGTTCTTTAAATAATTCAGCAAAATTTTTTCTTTATACTTGTCCAAGAAAAAACATTTAATTTACAAGTGAAATTCTTTAAATGTGTATAATTTCTCATTCAGCCTTTCTTAGGTATAGATGAGACATTTCTATTGTATAATAACAAAATTGGTAATATATTGGAAAAGTTTTTGAAAATAACCAGGTCTAAAGATTAAAAGCATTATAACTGTATTTATATAATGCATATACAATAATTTATTTGTTAAATAATTTTACAAGTTCATTTTGGGAAGACAATTATAACTATATATATAAAATCAAATTTATCCCTTTATATCTGCCTCAAAGATATTTTATATCTGCTCCATTACATGCATAGTAAGAGATTCAAATCATTATTCTTTTAGTAAAGTAGTACTATTTTTAATAGTTTTATCAATATTCTTTGAGAGATATTTTTAGTAGTTACAAATCACATATGTTTTAAGAACAAAAATAAATTTGCTATGCTACAAATTATTTATCTCTACTCTTTTCAATTCCATGCATATTAAGCTCATAAATACTCCTCTTCCCCCCCTCTCATAAGTTTATAAGATTTGTACTTAAAACAGATGAATGTAATTACAGCCCATTTTCCCCCACATAACATAAAACTTAAAATACACATTATATACTTTTTATACTTCATAGAATTTTGCCAAGGAATTTTACAATTTAGCTTCTAAGCAATATTATAACATTATATAAAACAGCGTTACCATACTTACAAACATATCAGATGCATGTGTTTTGAAAAAATTCCTTTTTAGATTGGATCTAAATCCCTTATTAATTCATAATAATCATAAAACACTTACAAAAAAGTTGCCATAAACACTAGTCATTCACAAAAGATACCTTAACCACTCCGTTCGGGTACTTGGAAATGGCACTTTTTTTACTTTCCCGAGCGAACATTTTTTTCTAGTCTAATACACTGATTTGCCCGAATTTTTTGCAATGTTTCTAACAGATGGCACTAGTAATCCAGTAAAGTTAGAATTGCGAGACTACTGGTTTCAAGGTTAGGTCTTAGACTTGATATAATAGATCGCCTGATTGAAAGATATGGAACAGTAAATGAGAAAAAAGGGCGAACAAGAATTTTGCCCAATCTCTTACGATTGATGGAAAGACATTTTTTGGAAGTGATTTCTCCCACTGATAAAAAATTGAGACCAGCAGGACAATGTTTTGTGTCTTGCTCGAAAAGAAATGATTTTGGAAAACGGGTGAGAAAAGAAACACAAAATTTTTGTCCTGATTGCGATGTCGGACTATGCTTGTCTCCCCGTTTTAAAATTTATTATACAAAAACTGAATTTTAAAAGAAAAATTAATGTAATAACAAAACAAACATTTTAAATTCTGACATCTATTTTTGTAAAGTGTTCTTTCCAGTTCGCTTACTTCTTCGAAAAAAGCAAACTTTAAGGAAAAATGTGCTTTTTACAATGAAAATAAAAATTCAACACTTGTTATAGTTCTGACTGCTGATTTGGGTTTATATAATGAAATTCTTCATAAAAATGTTTATAAAAATATGCTTATTTTTTGTCATAATATGACGGAAAAAAGAAACTGTTAAGTGGTTAACAAACAGATTTACATTGTTTTACTTCAACAGTACAAGAAATGAAAACTAATGTTATGAATTTTGTATATAGTATATGTAAATAATTTTAATGAAATTATATGAAATTGCAGTATCTCTTGTATAATGTAATATGAAATATGTCAAACATATGAAGCTCCACTGGAAAAATGATATTATAGGGGCAAGTCCATTTAACATTGAGGTAAATGGCTAGCCAAGTTGGCAATAATTCTGGGTTAATTTTTGCTGTGAAATCTCCTAATCGTCAATTTGGTTCAATCCCTATATGTAATTGAATCCAGTCCTATATGAAACTGTATATACCGTCTGCCAATTTCAAGAAACTGAAGGTACTGGAAATTTCTTGGCAGATAGGGGAAAACTATATAAAAATGGAGACGGGCATCAGTTCTCGGTTTAGTTCAGAGTTAAGTTCGGAGTATAGAGAGATCTGCATGCAAGTTGCTTTGATCTTTAGATGAGCTTTGCATTGTATTTAATGTTCTTAGTAGTTTACAGTGGTAAGTATTAATTGTGTTCTGTCCAGGGTTGCCACTCAAACTGGAGAATGAAATTCCGTGACTTATCCAGGTTTTCCAGGTGTGTTTTAAGAAAATTCCAATCTATCCGCGTAATGCACATTAGCTGTACTAAGAGGTAAATTAATTATGGTATTACTTGAGAACACAAAAATTTGCCAATACTTATGTACATAAGACTTATATTCCCAAAGCATTACTATTATAATTATAATAGGAGTTGTTTTCTCCACTGAAGATTGAGATTAGAATCTGCCCAATCTGGAAAAAAAGGCTTTTTTTTTTTTTTTTTTTTTTTCCTCAGACGTTTTGCAGCTAAACGAAAGAAAGAAATCTATTTAATGATATTTTTAAAATAAATTCAGGTATTTTATATTTATTTCGCAGCATACATAAGCAAAAAATATGTGCATTAAATTTCGAGATGTTATGTCATCATACAGCTAGAATTAATTTCAGGATTATGCCAGATAAAACAAGTGTCTAGTGTGTAAGTTTACGATTATGGCAAAGCCTTGAGAACTATCTGCCTAAGGAGAGGGATGCTTTCGTGGAGGACTTTCTAAGGGAAACTGGCTCATCTACAAGTTACACATGGGGAAAACCCAAAAAACGTCCATGCAGACAGCACGATCGCGGGTTTCGAACCTCAGACCGAACTACCAGTGTTCAGCGACTTTACCGCTCGGCCGCTGGTAGGCCTACTGCAAAACGACAAAAAGATTTTTGTGGTAAGATCCTAGTACACAGTTAGGCCTTGGCACGATTTTGAAAATTGACGCCAATTGCAAAATGAACCGTTTACTGCTCATCATAATGTCACCAAATTCCGTGTGTACCGTACATGGAGGTTATTCTAACCAAATGCAACCTACGTAAAGAAGAAAAGGTTCCACAGACATAATGCTATTACGCTGCTAGAAAGCGAAGGGAAAATTTTGCAAGGGATTTGGCGACGGAACCTGGCAGCTAGAATTTCCCTCTCTGTGATGTGTACAGGAAATTGAGAAACACGTGTTAAGAAGAAATGTTCTTTGACAAAACATTTCTTCTATGATTTTTTGCAATAATTTAAAAATGTATTTTCGTAGATTTTTTTTTTTTCTCTCAAAGTAACTAATCCATCAATTAATTTACTTGCAACAAAAAATATTTTCTTTTCCTTTAAAGTTTACAGAAATTTTAAACGATATTTATTTTATGAACTCTTGATAAAGTGACCTTTGAACTTCGACACCAGCTTTGAGCTTTGGCGACAGATATTTCGTGCATGCACAGCTGTTCCCCTCTACGCTAGAACAGAGCCACACCAGTTGCCGAGAGGTTTTCCTTCTTTACAATACATATTCTTTGATTCTCACCTTCATGGTATCGTATACTAGGATTAAACCCATTTTGTTAAATAATATGTGAATAAGTATTTTCTTTAATTCAACATGCACTGCACATGCGATTCTCCAGGTAACTGGAAACTTGCTTTGCCTTTCTAAAAGACAATCTAATTGGAGTTGCGAAAACTGCCTCTATGCCAGCTGCCCAAATGACGCTCACAGGATATACACAATTCACCAAGAAAGTGATCGCCTTCAACGCAGACGCAAAACTCCCCTTTCTTTTTTGGCGGGATCGCTGTATGAAATTCCCTGAATTTTTTGGTCAATTTTCGAATTCCCTGACTTTTTCCGGTTTTCCAGGTAGCATGGTCATACTGAGAAGAGCTGCATGAGTACTTTTGTGAAACATTCCAGAACTGTAAAGTGTTACTTTAGGGAAAATAAATTTAATCAAGCTATCATCAGTTCTGTGTGCAATCAATCCATTATGAACCCGAACACAATAAGAAAGCTTCATTTACGAGCTTAAAGTTCCTCTTGTAGTATAACAACAACTGGCAATATAATGGGGACAGAATCTTAAAAATCAAATGATATACTTACTTTTTTAATTATTATCACTTAATAGTAATTACCAAATTAAAATTTTCAAGTTGCAGAACTATATAGATAGAAAATATTTTCTTAAACTTCTCTACCAGTAAATAAGATACTCGAAAATGGTTAGCTTGTTTCTTTAATGTTTTCAAACTCATGGTAAAACTTATCATTGAAAAGGTTTCTAATGCATTTCAGTACAAAGCATATGTAATTAAACTCTGGCTGAGATTCTCATAGGTATAGAAGGCCTATAGAATTTACAGTCAGAATGCAATACCTTTACAGAGAGAGATTTTAAACTAAGAGAACTACAAGATTACTAATTATTTACACTTTCACAATTTAAAAATAAAACAATTACAATGAATAAACATTAAAAGTAGTCACAATAGGTAAGGGGAAAACATGGCAATGTGCCTAGAAACCATGAAAGTTCATTTGAAATTCTATTTGCAGCATATGGACAGCCTAACTAATTAGATTTTCTTGTGTAATGTAAATCAACTACCCTCAGAAAGTCCTTCAAAAAGACACATCAGTACACAGCTCTGGTGTTAGGTTAGACAATGTACTGACCATATTGAAAAATGTTATTGTCCATCTTATGAGAGGAATTACAGCCTAAACATCCTTCATACCGTGGTCTGACAGCCAATCTCATGAATAACATCATAATATTGGACATTTATAATTCAATCTGCATTGTGATGAAGGGTGGGAGAACCTCGGATAGCCTCCACCCCTAGGTGTTCTCTCTCAAAACTGGGGCAGAGCTGCACAGGACTATACTTGTTCCTGTGCAAGTATAGAACAAGGACTATACTTGTATAAAATTCTGGTGTCTAGCACATTTTTATTTTTATCTGTATAAACTTTTGGCCACCCAGCTGCTATGATGGTTAGTGATTCTAGCACTTGTAATGATGGGCCTGGATTCGAATCCCAAAGAAGACATGGATGTTTGTAAGTGTGTGGTATCTGTGCAGCTAGGAGGCACACAAAATATACTGCAAGCCGAAAGCCCTCTAGAGAGGTTGATGGTAAGGGAAGAGGGATGAGAGATCCTTAGACTGTTCTCCAGAATATTCTCTTTTAAAAATGGGACAAAAGCTTAACCCAGTTATACTTGATATATAGCTATAATAATGAACAAGTGCTGGCCTCACTTGTATAAGCTTCTGACATCTTCCACTTGGTGGTGAAAAATATAACCAGTTTGACAATAACATTTTTCATTATTAAATAAAATCTTGTTGGTCTGTGAAAACGAACATTATGCTACTGTACATATTTCAAATTATTGAATTTTTACTTTTTGCAGTTACTTTTGGATCATTCAGTGTACACATACACACAGGAGCACATACTTTACTACATTATAAACTCTCAGATAATATGGTTGTGCTTTGTAAATACTGCATGCAGAACTTTTTAATAAAGAAACAGAAAAATGACAGTGGTTTAATTACAACTTATTAGTATGTAGCAATAAAGTGAGATTACCTTATGTGTATTTCTAAGTTTTGGTGGTGGCATATCTCGTATCCTTCTCATAGCTTGCAGTGGAGGTTCATTGAAAAATGGAGGTTCACCATCAACCATTTCGATTACCATTATTCCCAAGGACCAAATATCCACCTAACATAATGAAAATATTCCTAAATTTTAACTAGAGGTTATTAAACAAAATTAAACTATAAAGGTTCATTTACACTTTAAATTTCACACAGAAATGCATATACACTTTCTTAGAACACTGCTACTTAAAATTACTTCTAGAATTTTATTTCATTTCTTGTAACAGAGAATTTCTTATATACAGAGTAAATTACATAGCACTACTGTAATAGAAGGGATAAAGGAAGTAAGTTTTTAAATAATTATACACCTGGAAAACATGACAGTGAGCCAAAATAGACTGGGAAATCATGATATAGGAGATTCAGTACGAAGCTTAGACAATGATGTGCTGATTATCTAGGTTAATCAGCTGATAAAATCAAACTATATACATATTTTATAGCTGCCAACCTTGAAATCTTAAAAGCTTCACACTGTGGGATGATATCATTTCAAAGGAACTCCAAAGGTTCAGGTTATTGGACTATTTGTAATTCAATTCTGACATAAAATGTATTAGCATTATTTGGACATTTTAGATTGTATGCTCTTTGGTTAATTTAATTTTTTAATTTTCTTACACTTTCATACTGTGAAAATCCCAAGTAGTGAAAGAAAGCTTTTATTTATCAAAGTATTTTTAAATATGAGGAAACAAAAATAATAATTAATGCTCATAATATTTTACATGAAGAAAATTAGTGATGTACCATATATTGAAGTAAACAAATTATATATGAATATTGACTGATTCAACATTGCTCGAATCTTGATAAAAAATCTATGTCTACTATAAATTAAGAGAACTTAGATCAAATGAAATTTAACAAGATCAATAAAATATAATCAGGGGGGGGAATACAATGCAAATGAAATAAAATAAGAAAAACTATTCTGAAAATCATTAGAGGTGGGGGATTGGAAGCCCCACTGAATAGGGGAAATGCCTCATTTAAGCTTCTCAATAAATTTAATTTATTGCTGTAAAAATTGAAAACCAGAAGATTTGGTGATCTCGCAACAGACTGGGCAATGTGATGAAAAAACAGGAGTCTCCCAGTAAAACTGACAAAGTTGACAGTAATGATATATTAACAAAATATTATAATAAGCACACATCTAATTGTTAATGAATAGTAACCCTACAAATTGCTAGAACTGAATAAGCACACAGTAATAAGGACAGTTTTGTGAACTTTTTGGTTGACAAATTTTCAGAATGTGCCGAACTATGACAACTACATGCACCTTTAAGCAACCTTGCACATAACAAATCAGTTTTTATCATGCAATCTTGCCATTTTCCTATGCATTCTTTTTATTTTGCTGGTTTTTATGCATAAATGGTGGTTCTTTCTGTCAAACTCTTTTTTAAAACTGAACTTGCGGAATTTGCTTTCAATGGAAGAAACTGCAGTTTAATTTCTGCAGAAATATAGTATTTTTCTGCAAAACATCACTAAAAGGAATAATTGCTTTGAATCTATTTTTCAAAATTTCAACCTGAAGAAAAGCCACAGAAATCTGTTTTACAAGTTTATTGATTGATTTTCAGAATAAATATTCAGAACAATATATTAGGTTCCTATATTTTAGCCTGTGACAAATTTCCTAACAATATTCTATATTATACTGATTTAAAAGATACTAACCAGATATCATGAATGCCCAGTTGCACTGAAAAATCTAACAAGCTCTAAAATAACTAATTAAATAAAATTTCCATTAAGATTCCATCAGATTAAAAAAAGAAACCATTCATTTGTTCAATATACACTGGTCTGCAAAACTAAAGCAACAATGCAAATTTTAATCAGATAACCATGCAGTTGCAGAAAAGGGGTTCGTGCTATCAGTACAATGAACACGCAATTCAGTAGAAAGGTCATGCATATGCAAATGTCCGGGAAAAAACATCACAGGCTACGTGATCGTACGCAAAACGCACGAGCTCCACTCAAGACTACCATAAAAGGAAGGACGAAGACGCAATTAAAGACGTTCGCTGCAAGTACAAGTGAAATCTTTCGTGAATATGGCTAGAAGAAATCATCTGGATGACTTCACGAGTGGAAGAATGATCAGAAAGCTGGAGGAGGGGATTAGTGTGACCAAAGTGTGGCTGAAGATTTCGAAAGTCACCAAAAGTGTCGTTTCGCGGGCTTGGAAAGCCTTCCAAATCATAGGTTAGAGAGGTTGGGTGGTGGCCGCTCCAGGACAACAACTGCAGCAGATAACCGATATATCGTCCTGCAGGCAAAAAGAGCCCCAAACCAGTCAGCAAGCTCCACAGCTCAGCAACTGTGTACAGCAACCGGCAACAATTGTCGTGGTTTACTGTGTCCAGACACCTTCACAAAGATGGCCTATTTGCCCGCCATCCTGAACGCTGCATCACTTTGAAAGTTGGCCATCGGCGCCACCGTTCAGAGTGGTGCAAGGAGCGCAAAAACTAGGCATCTCATCAATGGAGTCGTGTCCTCCTTACAGATGAGAGATGCTTTAGTGCCCCAAGCGATTCTCAATGCCAACTTATTTGGAGAGAGGTAAGGACACAGTGTAATCTCAGTAACATCACGGATAGAGACCATTACGGTGTCCTGGAGATCTTGTCTGGGGAGGCATTATGCTGAGCGGGCGGACAGAGCTCCACGTTTTCGACACGTTTTTGTCAGGAGGTAATCCTTCCCTATGTGCATCTGTTCCGAGGTGCAATTGAACCAGACTTCGCTTTTATGGATGACAATGCACAGCCACACCGGACTCCTCCTGTTCAGAAGCTACCGAAAAGTGAAGATATCACTCGAATGGATTCGCCAGTGTACTCCCCTGATTTAAATCCCATAGAACATGTATGGGATGCTTTGGGGAGACGCCTTGAGGCACGGTTACATCCTCCGGCGAACACCCAACAACTGAAACAGATGCTGATTGAGGAATGGGCACTCTCACCTCAAGATCTGTTGGACAATCTGGTGCTGAGTGTGGGGAGATGGTGAGAAGCAACCATTGCAGTAAGGGGAGGGCATATCCCATACTAAGGAACATCTGCTTGTTGTTCTTCCTCTTATACAGACAATCATGTGTAACGATACTATGAGTTCAATAAAGCCTGTTTTTGTTTAATTCCATACTGTGTGCATTGTATTCATTTTTGCGCAATTATGCTTTCATCATCGTTTAAATACAAAATGCTGTCTCGTAGATTTATGTCAAAAAGAACACCTGTTGCTTAAGTTTTGCGCACCAGTGTAGAACTGGGATCTAATTAAACTATTAAAAAAATTTTTGAAAACTTTCAGATTTGACATTATGCCCAAAGGGGCATTTTTGGGGGGTTGCCTTTATTTATTAAATATCATGTTCTTCGCACTTAAACCATAAAATTCAGTACAACAGCAATATCGCAAAATAATTTTCGAACGAGCATATCTTTAGAATTTCCGATACACAGTCTCGCGTACTGGAGATAAAAAAAAAAAAAAAAACTTTTTTTCATACAGTGTTGCCATTGATTGCTAGCTTTTGAAATAGTTAAGTTTGTTAATCAAAACTTTGTTAAAGTTTTACAAAATATGAAATAGATAATAAAACAAATTCCAAATTTGCACTTCCAGATGACCATATTCAGGAGGTATTATTTGATTACATCAAAATTTGATGCCCTAGGTACCACCGTTTTATCACAAGGCCAGACACATACATACATTTATGCAGAATCTTCATTATTTGATTTCTTTAAATATAATAAAGGGCTGTAATATTTGGTGGCAACAGTTTGAAAAGTGAACCAACATTTAAAGTTTTCAATGAAAAATGCCAAAATGAAATTAATAGCCCGTCTGGGGGAAAAAAAAAAAAAAAAAGCATTTAAAACATTACACAGTTCTCTCCGTAAAATTCTGCTTTCTGGCACAAAGTAAAAAAAATGTAAAACTCCCCCACCCAAGAGAGATATCAAACAGAAATTTTTTGTAAATTGCACTTAAAAGAAAATTTGTTCCTTTTAATGGGATTAAAATATAAGATGGTTGGATAGTATATTTAATGGCATATAACCTTAAAAAAAGAGATAATAAAATACAAAATATATGGTATATAATAATCCATCTTGTTAAAATGCAGAATAAAATGATAAAACAAAAACAAAAGAATCTCTGAGCTATAAATCAGTTACTATGAAAAACTGTATGAACAACTGTATCTGACAACTATATATGAAAAACTGAACTCAATTTAGAATGAACAATGCACATACAATGCAACCATCTGCACTACAGGAGGTGTTTTTGCTAAGACTTCTCTTTACATGTCTCATATCATATCACACTTTGACAACTTATCTGGAAGTCACCAACATAAAATAAACCCAGAACGGTAGGAAAAATTTCTTTAACCGCTTCCCTTACACATTTTTTTTGAAAAAAAAAAAAAAAAAAAAAAAAAAAAAAAAAAAAAAAAAAAAAAATTTTTTTTATTTTATTATTAAATACAAGGAAACAAAATAAAATATGTAAGTTTTAAGTTGAATTTTTAATTTTTTACAGGTGTAAAAGCATTTAGTTTTAATATTAGTTTACTATCCCGAGTATCTTGGGCAATTAAAAAAAATTATATATTAGTCGTATGAGAAACAAGGGACAACACAAAGTGATACCTGACATTCTATACACTGGTATCTGGTCTCTTTTCTTATTCGCTTACCTCTGGAATCTCTTTTACAGGAGCACATAGAACACTGTCTCATTGGTTTTGATTTTTTTTTCTCCAGTGGCAGGAATAACATCTGGAAAATGCCTTGAGGTTATAATCACCATCTGAAAAATTATCGCTTTCGCTATCTTGCCATCATCGCCATTATTTTACTTTTTTCAATGCAACTATCATTCTTTATACATTACTAATTCACAAGCTGACGTATACTAGACGATAGGGAAACACGTGACCAATCCAAAAAGAACCACGAAACCAACAAAACTTGGCGAACAGCCAATAAAAGCTGAATATTTCCTTTTATTTCCTCTAAGCCGAGTAAAACCATGATAAAACAAATTGTACTGACAAATTCTGCTTTGCCCGAGTTTTCTCGGGATAATAATCAACTGCAAAACATACGAACCTCGGATAATCAGGCAAGCGGTTCAAAAAGGTTTATTTTTAACTTGAATACAATAACACGTAGGACACCTTCTTAAGATTTCTTTTTTAAATTTATTTATTGCTTTGTCTACAGGCATATCATCAAAATTTACCATTCAGTCAGTGATATCATAAAAGGAGAAAAAGAGACCAATCTACTTCATTCAAAATGAAACATTGGGGATCTACAATTTCATTACCTGCAAAAGTAACAAAAATAAGAAAGTTAGCACTGTCATGAAGATCATTTCCAATCCTTAATTTGCAGAACAGAAACAGAGGTAATGAGATCAATACTTCTTGCAGACTGGTGTTTAAATAAAAGTTTAATAAAAGTTCTTGCAGACTGGTGTTTGCTCTCTGTTATTAAGGGGTACAAAGGTTGATGATGATGATGCTTTACCTATCATGTACATTTTTACCTTAGATTTCCCCCACACAGGATTGTGGTTATTGATATCACTTATAAATAAAAAGGATATATGGTATTGATCTGTTAATCCATTCAAATTATGCTACTTAAGGTGCTCACTGTGAGACCATATACACAATGACAGCTTGAAGACAGGTTGCTAGAGAAATACTTTAAGTGGATAGTCAAGCAAGGTCAGAAGACTTAACACCAATGAAGACACAATCAATGCACAGATTATCTTTTTTGCGAAAGACATTTTTATAGTTTGAATTGCTGTTCAGGTTTCAATGGTGCTTCTTGCACTGCAAAGTAAATAGAATGATGGTCACTGATTATGTGCTATGTGAACAAGATTTTTGTTGAAACCATGATAATCTCAAGAGATCATAAACAGCCAATAAGAGTGCTTATATCATCTGCTCAAGCCCTTTTGTTAAGCATGGAAAGGGATGGCTCAACTTCATCCCATTCACTGTACAGTCATCCAAAAGTTTAAGTTCCCCAAGATCATATTCTCCCCGGAACTAATACTAATGCTTTGGCTTCTAAGTACTTTGGTCAATTTCTTTTCTGATTGTGCTTGTGCTGGTTCTTTAGCATCTTTTGAATTTAAAAAAATTTCAGTGTCTACAGAGCAGTTAATTATGCCAAATTTGTCAAAATACATTTATCAATTTTGTATTACACATGATATGTGAAGGAAATTGTCTTGCAAGAACAGTGTTCATTTTTGCTCATAAAATTTTTCTACAATTCATCAAATCAACATCCTTATAGTTGCCTGCAAACAATTGCACAATTTAACAAAGTGATTATAAGTAGCATCTACATTTTTTATATTCTATTCTTATTCACTCAGTCTAACAAATAAAGCATAAAATTAAAGGATCACTTTTATGGTTGCTATCATCAAAAGTGATTCCTCCGTAAATGAAAATAATAATATAGCACTGATATGAAATGGTATACCTGTAGCTAGAGAATCCACAACAAAATAAGTTCCACTAACCCATTATAAGAACAGAAAGCATGTCTATTTATGAAATGCGAGACTTCATGAGTGGGGTAGGTAAAATTCCTTTGCTTAAAAATACCTACAATGAAAACTACCTGAGCTTTTGTTATTCTAAATTTAAACAATACAGGATGGCACAGAAGTTACTGTAGAATATTTTAAGTGCTTTTTGGACATTTTAAAAAATCAAAAAATTCAAGTTTTGTCAAGCTAAAACATGCTTTTTGCAATGTGTGCAAAGACAAGTGGGACTAGTGACAGGTATAAGGCTCAATGATTTTAAAAATGAGTTTTCCCCCGACATCCATAATGCCACTGAAACCCAGTTAGAGAACTTTTCCTCACACCCTCAATTCTAACTGAACTATATTTACAACTCAAATGTTGATCTATTAAGAATTAATTAAAAGATAGATGACAATACATAAACACAATACAAACAATACTTATAAGCAAAAGAATTGACCACAAATTTGATTAAATAAAAATACACAATAAAGTTACTAAATAAATAAAGATAATATATGACATTGAATACATATATATATGGAAATATATAAAACCCACATTCAATCAAATAAACACAAATATTTACAACAATTTGTAATATAATACAAGAGCATTTTTTATCAAAATAATACAAATTTTTGATTCTGATATAAAATTATACTTTACTATTAATTCTGATATCTGGAAAATGGAACTTTTAGTCCATTCCATTTAGCCTTGATTACTTTGTAACACATGTAAAAGAATTTTTTTTTAATATTATATTCTGAAATAATTTTCTATACTTTGGGAAATGCTATATTCTGAAATAATTTTCTATACTTTGGAAAATGCTATATTCTGAAATAATTTTCTATACTTTGGGAAACGCATCTAAAGTATAAAAAAATTAAGTGCACTTATGTAATCTTTTAGCTCCTCCCCTTAAAAACTAAAGAAAGAAGAAGGTTTCTGTAAGTTAATTACCTCTGGGCCATAGGGTAAACGAGATATTACTTCTGGAGCCATCCAATAAGGTGTGCCAACAAGTGATTTCCTATTGGGAAGGTCATTTGAAACTTGTGCACAAAAGCCAAAATCAGATAGTTTTACCTAAATAATACACAATTATTAATATAAAATCATGAAAAACTTAATCTCTGAGAAAACAATAAAAGAAACTGACAAATTTTAAAGATTATTAAATTGCTAGAAACATACAAGAAATAGCCACTTCAAAAGAAATTTCAATCACTTACTCTGCCATCATTAGCAAGTAGAATAGAATCACTTTTGATATCTCTGTGAATAACACCCTGAGAATGAAGAAACGCTAAAGCCTTGAGACACTGCTTACAAACAGTAGCAATTTGCTCTTCATCCATTCTAGCATGTGTCACTATATCAGTTAAAGCACCTCCTTCCAAAAACTCCATTACTACCCATAATTCATCACCCACAAGGAAGCTATCAAACATTTCAACAATATTTGGATGATGATAATCTCTCATGATTACAACCTGTAATAGCAATTTAGGCCATTTTAACCAAATTATACCGAATTTAATAAACAGATAACATAATTCCTTCATATTTGAAAAGAAATTTGTTTTTAAATATGACCGTACAGCAAAAAATCTGTAAATAGTTTATGTGAGACATTATTCATTTAAAATATTTATTTCCTAACAAGTATTTTAAAATTAGTTTATTTTCATAACAGAAAATGAGAAATATTTCAGTAGTTCTGAAAAATGTGAATAAAGTAATAGTCTAACCTCATTAAATAACAGCTCCCGTCGTTGCTGCTTATGCAGATCCATTTTCTTAACAGCAACTTGGCGACCAGTTGAAATTTCTGATGCAATACAAACAATTCCAGTTGATCCTTCACCAATTTTTATGAAATTTTCGAGATTGTCTCTAGGATCACCAGGGCTAACAACCATTTGTAAAGCAGCACGAAACTATAAATAAAAATATAAATTTACAAAAAAAAGTACATACTTTTTGAAGAAGCAAATATCCTTGGGATTTAAGTCCCGCTTAGATTAAGAAAAGGCTTAAAAAAAAAAAAAAAAAAAAAAAAAAAGAAAGAGAGAGAGAGAGAGAGAGAGAGAGTGAAGGAGAAAGCAGCTTTGGTGCAAAAAATATTATTATTTTAGTTGACGACTTTTGTGGCTTATTTCTCCATCTGCCTTTCCCATTTCCAACACATTTTTAACAAATGTCTTATTCTCCTCCTGATTAAACATGTGAGATACAGTAATTGAAGAAGTTCTGGTAGGCAAACACTCTTTCTACTTTTGCTGAAACGGAAATTGCTATTTTTAGAACTTGCTTGGATGCTTCAAGAGAAAACTTAGATTTTTAATTTACAAGTGGCTATGAATTACTGTAATTAGTATTGCTTGCAAAATGTCAGAAAAAAAAAAAAACAGACGCATGTTGTTCTTTCCATTTATCAGATGCTAGAAACAGTAAGTAAAGTAGAGAATGGATCAAACATGAAATCAGTGTCTTTGCAGTATGAGGCTGGTGAGCAGACTGTGCATGATTTATTATAGAAAAAGGATCAACTTAGGTGGTTTGCATGTGCATATGATTCTGTTGTAAGAATGAAAGAAAGGAAAGCAATGAAAAAGGTCATCTTACAAGGACTTAGATAAGGTCATGCTGAAGTGGTTTCGTCAGCCGAGACCACAGGGAAACCCAATAAATGGACCGATTTGTGCAGAAAAAGCTAAATACTTTTTTTCCAGCAATTAGTAATCTCAGGGGACAATAATGACATGCTCTAATGCAGCAGGGAGCCACAAATTGAAACTAGTTGTGATTGGAAGGGTGAAAAAATCAGTTTTTTAAAGGCAGGGGAAGCAGCCAACTTACCAAGGCACTATTTCAATCAGAAAAAAAAAAAAAAAAAAAGGATGGATAAATAGAATCATATTTCAGCAGTGGCGATACAAAATTTGTGCCTCGGGTGACAGTTTTTAAAATCACAGGGCCTTCCTGAAAGAACAGCGTTAATTTTATACAATTTACCACCCACTCAAGTGAATTTACGTTAAAATCAAGAGATGGACAATTTCCTGAAAAGTACTTGCTGCCTAACATGACAGCTCTAATAGATACAATGGACTGGGGTGATATTGCGTCAGTCAAGTGAAACTATAGTTCTGTTGTGTTACGTAAATTGATCGAGGAAGATCAGGATCTCAAAACTTTTCAATTCTGGATACTATCTATGAGAGTTGTCCTGCATGGCAGAAAGTGAAATTCTCAACACTAATTAAATCTTGGGAAAACAACTCTTCTGGACTTGTAAGAATATGAAAGTATTTTATGTTTTGATACAGTCACGGAGGTGTCACCAGGTTTTCTTGCTCAGATTGCTTGCAAAAAGTGTGCCTAATAGTGAACATGTGGATGAAGAAAACATTTCTAAATGTTTCCACACAGAACAGCAATCTGTTCATGCAAGGGGTGGAAGAAATATCAAGTGACAGGGAAGGGGAGCAGAGTGGAGGCAAGGAGCAGTCTGCTGATGATAAGGTCATGCATGCAGCTGCACTTTATCACATTGAATGCTTTCTGGACTACTTGGAAGAGCAAGAAGATAGTCTGCCGACTCACAAAAATGACACTACACAAGATAAGATCATCGATCTTAAAAAAAAGCCCACTCAGCAAAGAAATAAAGTTTTGACTGACCATTTTATGCATATTTTAACTGTCTTTTTTTTGCATTTACTGTATTTTAATTTATTTATTGATAAAGCTGATTTGAAATTTTATTACCACAGTTCCTGAAATTACTGTACACGTAAATTGCCTTATAGAATTTTTCTTGCTATATATTATAGTTATTTATCTTGACTTTTTTTTTAAACTGGCTTTGGATTAACTGTGAATTAACATGCACATCATCCCCTAAGTCAGGAGCTGACTGTAAACATTTGCATAATTGCCCTTTTTAACCCCTTCGAGCTGGGTAGCGAAAAAGCGCGCTTATCGCTGAGGCTGGCAGTGTCTTACGCGAGCGTCTCTCCAGGGCCGGGGGCTTTTTTGCTACTAAGCCTAAATCCATGAAATTTCCGAAGTATCAACGCATTGTTTAATAATGCTCTATAGAGTATTTAAACGGCTTATGCTTTATAAATATTTTTAAATATATACTTTAATTACCTTATTTCTTGTTTAAATGTTTTACACATTTTATTTTAATTACTCACCATTTTATGAATTTTAACATTATACATCTGAAAACTAAATATATTACTTAAAATTCTCTTTTCGTATGAAAAATTTGAAAACAGGGATCTACACACAGTCCTACGTTACATTCCTTGCACTCGTAATAACTCATTTGCCGTTTTGAAGGATTTTTCCGGTAATGTGAACAAACGAAGCATCGTCGTTGCATTTTCTTATCAGTCTCTTCTGAACAAAGTTTTGGAAAACGTCTTTCAGTTAATCTTTCAGAATCAATATCAGAATATCAGAATTTCAGAATCAATATCTGAAATATTTTGCATCATTTCTGCTATTTCATGCTCTGTTAAACATTTTCAACGCTTCGACATTGCAACGGTAAAAACAAAGAATTCACGTCTAACAAGATCTAATAATTTTCTAAAAACTGAACTGCAAACCGAAATACCCAACGCTTTAGAGCAAATAAAACTTCTCTAATTACAGTAAACAACTACCATGTGCGAATAAAGTGCGATTTAAAGAGACGTCATAAATCACGCCATTCGGAAACATTTATTTCCCCGTTTGTTTATATAATCAAAAACACGTGTATGTGAGTCATGCTTCTCTCATTTCAAGTAGAAGGTCTAATTTACATGTATCTGAAACCATATGGACATACAGTGCCATCTTGTGGCAGAAATTATAGTTTGAAAAACGTTCCAAAGTACTGGCACAAATACGTGACAGTCGGTAGAGAACGGAACAATCCTCTGGCACGCCTGCGTGTCGCCCGGTAGGTAAGTGTGTTCGTTGCTGGCACGTATACGTGACAGTCGGCGCGAAGGGGTTAAGGAAGCAATTAAACACTCTTACAAATTTAGCAATACATAAAAGAACATAATACATAAAACAAAATAAAGTACAAAGGCCAAAATCCAGCAACCTTTTTTTTAGAAATTTTTTTTGGTATGCTTCATGCACACCCATTTGATATTTTTTCATAGTATAACATGTGGACAGTCCACATTCTCAATTTCATTTTGGCATTTACCTCCATACTGAAGAAACAATCATTTATTAACATAAATCTGTATGATCAATAATTTAGCTCTGTAGTCGCCTTTCTGGTCTTCATACATCTCAAACTGAAACATTCTACATCGAAACATGACTGATTTTACATCTATGAAATAATTTATACCTCGAATCACAACAAGATGAATCATTATTTATTACTTTTTGCTCCCTATCTACACACTGCTGCTTGAGAAATGACTTGCAGTGATGTCTAAACATTTTTTTAAACATCAGTAATTGAATAACACAGACCATGGTAACCTTTAATGTTGGTTTATGTTGATGATGATTACACACACATATAGATGCGTCAGTGTGCAACAGAAACAAGACAAGATTTAGCAGGACAACATGTCTTTAGTTACTAATCTTATACTGAATTGCCAACAGTGTATAGCAGAAGCTAGATAAGCTTTATGATGACAGCTGCATAAATCCAATTAACTGAATTTGTGAAGAAATATGGAAAAGTGGTAATAAATGAAGATGATATACTAGAAGATTCTTCTGCAATGAAAATGCCCCAATGATCAATCAATTAACAAACAGCGAAATCTGTATTATAGTTCAAAACCCAGAAAATATCAGTACCGAAAATGAAGAAAATGACAGAGAATATTTGAGAATGAAAAAATTTTGATTCACAATTTACAGGGAATTCTTGACAAGGAAATTATAGGACTTGAAGGATGAAACTTTGTAACTGAACAAGAAATTATATCTATCTGTAGAATTAAAAAGTATTAGCATAAAAAATGAAGCAACTTACACTGAAAAAAAAGTTTAATAAAGCCAACAATCAAATATTGAGTTTTTTTATTGTAAACTTTCTCTTAAGGTCATATAAATTCTTCATTACTTCATATTTCTAATTTTACAATTTCTACATGGCATCTAATTATACTTAAACTGATGATCTTAATATCTGGAAAAAAACCAAATCTGTAATCGCCGAAGTCCTAAAGAATCTCGATCTCAGATTTCATGCTGTAATTGACTTAAAGATAATCAACATCTACAGAAATCAAATTGAAAGTAAAAAAGTTGAAAATCATACATGACTGATTTGTTTTTTTACAGTTTTAAATTAATTTTTTTCACATTAATGTTTTTTTACCATTGTAATAACACAAATTGAGTGATGTATATAGAGTACAAGAATCACAAGTATACAGACAGATTAAATAATGCTGGCAAAGCTCCTTTTTTGGGAAGGCAATACATAACTTTTATGTTTAGAATCCTAATAGTGGCTTAGGTAATGGAATGCTCATAATTCTGCTTGGATGATATTCTCTGTTATTGAATGGATTGGTTTCAATGGAGTTTCTATAATTTTTGCAAATGATATATAAATAAGAGAATTTCCTCTAGATTAATTCTGACGAATCCACATCCTCAGGGAGACAATCTCTATATGTTTTGTTATAAGAGGCTCACATGCTTTAACATTGAATTAATATCTCAAATAACTCGATATTTTTTGAATAACTACAATATCAAAAATCCATCAGAAAGATAAAACCTATTATAAAACTACTGAATTGTACATGATGAAACTTACCTGCTCATGAGATAACCTCTGCTGTTCAATATGGTTTTGCCCTCCAACTTGTTTATTATTATTAGAAGGTCGCATTTCAGGTTTTACTAACTCCTATTTAAAAAATCAAACAATAAACTATTTATTTAAGCCAAAAAGTACTTTTATATTTCATTAAGAATCATATAACAGTAATAAATTTTAGAAGTAAGAAAATTTAAAGTTGACTCATCAAAGATTTATAGCAATTTTAGGAAGACTTGACAGTTGTCATTTAGCATCTATCCACACATTAGCATCTTTAGCACAGATAGAAGACAAATGTAAAATTGAACTTGTTGAGAAGAAGGTAAAGGTGACATTTATAGATTAAACTTAAATGAGCCTTAACTAAAATATACTCAAAAATTTTATTAGAATAAATATTTTTTATTTAATTACCAGGAGTTTAATTTTTCTGTGCAACAGATTATCTCAAGACATTTAATTAACTGTCTGCTTACACCTGAAGAATATCTTAGAAATCTAATTTTAACAAAATATCATAGTTGTAACATTAAATTCTCTTTCAATTATAATTTAAATGAGTTTTTGATATTGTTACAAAATAATGTCAAGGCGCTGTGAGATGGCTTCCTCGCAAAGCAGTTTTTAGGGTTGCCACATTTGGCGACAAAATTGGCAATATGCCATGGACCTTCTGGAACGAATTCTTACCGGTTTAGCCCAGATGTTCTCGAACACAAGCCGAGAGCTATATAAACCCTGCTGGTCCGCAGTCAGTTAGTGTTTGTGTGTCTCATCTAGCGAGTCAGTCCCTGTGGAGTGGATCGAGTTGACAGCCGGGCAGCGGGTGCCAAGTGGGTCATCGAGTGCACCGTAAGAGTCTCATAGTATATCGCAGTTACTGCATCATCGAGAGAGCATGTTGAGCTCCGGGAATGGCTGAACCGAAGAGTCGGGAGCTGTGCTCGTTTGTCGTCGAGTGCATCGCTACTTGTAGTGTGGAGAGTCTCGAGAGTACATAAAGTTCCGAGAACAACCAAGCACAGTCGCAAGCTTTGCAGTGAAGCTGTCTCCATCGTTATTGCCTGACAGTATGAAGGCTGTGTCACTGATTGTTCCAGTATGTTATAGTAGTTCATCGACGACTGTAAAACGTGTTTTGGAGCTGTCCTGACAGTAGTGGTAAATAAAGTGTGTTTCGATATTTCATCAAGTAGTGTCGTTGTTATTCACTCCAAATCCATACGAACCCTGTACAAACGTGAAGGAAGAAAATAACGTAACAACTGGTATCAGAAGAATAAAAAAACCGCAACAATATTAATTTCAATTTTCTAATGCAAATGAATTCTTCATACATTATATTTCCCTTTTCAGTTACAATTACTTTGGATAGGTAGTCTGTTTCTTTGGTAGGCACCCAAACAAATGTTTAAAAAAAAATCATAACTGAATTTACTTTTTGATAAGTAAAATAAAAGTATAATAAAATCTATATCTTCAAGTATTTAAAAAAAAATAATATCACAATGTAAATTAATAGCTCCACTAGATTTTTCTGGTGCATTATTAGTATGCATTTTTAATTGTAAGGAAAATAATTTAAACTTGGACTTTAATAATTTGTTCTTGCAACAAATACATAATGAATTTAAATAATATACAATGTAACACTATTTTCACTAAAGCTTAATTAAAAGAGTAAATTTATGCAAGATAGTTTGATATAAAAATAAAATGTTTTATATAGATATAGAAAAAAGCTTTACAAGTCATAAAAATTAAATTTTAAAATTAATAAGTAAAATGGCTTTACTTTATTTTCTTTGTGTTCTACAGGTGCTACAGGGAGTTCTTTTGGTGGCTGTGACTGAGGAATTTGAGGCCGTGAATGTTTTCCACCAGACAAAGTATTACTTTTATCGATCTGGTTATTATTTTGCAAGACATTTTGTTGATTACTTGACTGAGTATCAGGGTAACTTTTAGGAGGCACTTGAGGATTGCCATTTGGCATCTGTCCACGATGCACAGGTGGTGGGTGAGAGGGATACTGAGGTTGGTGGGAAGGTGGTACAGGTGGCATTTTGGATGGAACCTACATATAAATGAACTTTTAAATACAACTAATATTATCAAAAACAATTAAACATAATACAGCAAAGAAAAGGATATTCCTTTGGTTTAATCAATACATGAAGAACATTCTTTTATTTAACATAAAAAAACAGGAATTCAGTTTAAATTCAACTGCAAATGTTACAGATCTACACCAGTTGATAATAAATTATCATAACGAAGATTAAAAAAGAAATAAATTATCAGCTAAAATTAAGGAAAAATGCTATCCATATACTGGCATTGATATGATTATGCAAGTAAGGTTTGGTTGCTTTCAGTTAAAATTCAGCATTTATGTTTTCAGTATTTTTAGCATTTTGGTATTAAAGTCTGTTCTCACTGCACAAAATCTGATCTTTTTGTATTTCGCAATATACAGATACAGAATATAATTATTGACGTAAATGACCTCTTGCAACAATTAATATTCTGTTATCTTAAGATATATTTAGATAAATAAAATTTATTTTGTATATCTTATCTGCACCTGAGATCATAAATTACAAATAACACAGGTGAGCTGGCAAAGTGAATGGATGGAAATTTTTAGAACTGAAGACACAAAAGTTTTTTTTAACTAGAACACCATAAAAAAGTACACTTTTAATATCACTTTGTACACATCTTTTGTAACAAATGACTCTACATTAATTTATTATTGGACCAATATTATTAAATACCAAATTACATCAACAGGCCCCTCATATGAGAAATCTGTAGAGGAACTAAAAATGACATTTTTTCAGTTTATAAGAAATTATTTGAGATAATTCTTAGTCTATACCCTATACATCCAATTACAGCAACTATGAAAGGTTTGGTTTTATGTGATTATGGCAAAGCCTCGAGGGCTATCTCCCTAAGGAAAGGGATGCCTTTGAGGAGGGTTTCGTGGACTAAGGGAAACTGGCTCGTTTACATGTTACACACGGAAAAAACCACAAAAACACCCATGCAGCTAGCCTGTTTGTGTGGGATTCAAACCTTGGACTGAACTATCAGTGTTCAGCGACTTTATCGCTCGGCTGCTGGTGGGCTAACTACCAAAGGTAATATTACAAACTTTGGTATGAGAAATCATCTTCTGATACCCTTATAATAAAATTTTTATTTCAGTATAAATGTCTAGATAATTCAAATTATAACTTTTAGTATTTCTTACATAAACATGTTTTTATACTTGTTGAATCAAATCTGAATCATTCAGCATCATTATCATCTTAACAGGATTTATTTCGTTCCTCTGAATCCATTTTTATTCAATCAGATATATTTATATATACTTTTGGTGCGGCTGATTGCAACCAAAATATGAGGTACACATCTACATGTTATAGCAGTCCTATATACAAAATTTGAACGTTCTGAAGCTACTCGTTTTAGAGTTATGCGAGGTACGTACACACAGACACTACGAAAAATTCTCTTCAGAATTCATTTTTAATCAGTTTTATAATTTTTTTTTTGGGGGGGGAAGGAGTTCTTTATTCTGTCCTTACAAACAGATGTCACACAAAAACATCCTTAAATTGCATTCAATAGCCGTCAAAATGTATATTTTCATTGAAATATGATACCTGAAATCTTTTGTGATTACAATACTTCTGTTTTACTTTGTACAAGGAAGTAAAAAGCCAAAGTAAATGCTTTTTTGCCAAAATTTCACTAGCAGTGAGGGGGGGGGGGAAATTCAAAAAATTTACAGCATTAAAAAATTAAATAATATATATTGCAAAGCAACTGAGCAAACATCTTATGATTTTGATAAAAACATATTCAGAAACTTGAAATTTAGGAATTACAAGTCAGTCAGAGTTCTTACATGCAAACACACATACGAAACATGATGTTAAGAAAATTTGTAACACACCTTTTAAAAGAATACCCAGAAGATCATGAATTTTTGTATTAACAATTAACAAGCAATGTGACTGGAAATCTTATACTATTTTACCTCTGTGTGATATCCTTGCTCATGATCCCATTCACTGTCTTTTTCAGGAGGACGTGTATGATCTCCATGTGCCTCATACGGAACAGGACCACTACCTTTTGGCACTCTTTCTTGTCCAAATGGAGATGCATCTCGTCTGCTTTCATTTCGATGACCTAGAGGATGCATGTGACCACTGTTTGGTAAATGTATATGACCTAAATGCTGATGCCCATGATGATGAGGATAATGACCCTGGTAAACAGGAGGGCCTCCAGGAGGAGGATGTGGACCAACATGGTGAACTTCATCTTCTGGAACAGGAGGAGGAAGGCGGCTTAGGTAGTCTCTGCGTATTTGGGGTGGACTTTCTTTTCTTAAAGAGTTTGACCTAGTTACGGAAACTGGACCATTTCGATGTGTACTTCCAGACACATAGCTTCCACGCACAATAGTCTGTGGAAAAAAAAAAAAAAAAACACGTTAAGTTTTAAATTCCCTAACTAGTAATTTAAAACATCTACATGAGAAAAATGGAAAGCAAAACTTAATGATTAAATGGACCAACGAAAATAAAAGCTTACAAATTTATAAAGCAGTTTAAGCTAATTGCTTACATTTGTAAAAAATGCCATATGTTAACTAATATTTGACAAATACATAAATCAAAGTATACTTCATAATAAATGTAGAAACATTAATGCTTAGTATAAGCTTTATATATGATACAAATGGGAGTTAATTAGGCAACAATGACTAAATCTTGAGTAACTCTCTTTAACCATAGAAAACAGCAACCAATTTCTACTTGCTGTTATTCAGTTCAAGCTAAAACATACATAAAATATTGGAAATACTGAGTCTCACTCAGAGTTGTAGCAATTTTTCCTGAGTTTGATAAGATTCTTTTAAATAGTAGGCGAGTTTACTTGGGCAAAAGAGAAGCAAAAATGCGTAATGAAGATGGAACTGAAATTTCTATTTGGTATTAAAAATAAAAATCTTCAATAAGTAAAATACCTTTAAAAGAAATAAAACCTGAATTGGTTAAAATAATTGACTTTATATATTTCTTTCACAAAGTCCCCATATCAATGTTAGTTATCTAAATGAAGTGGAAAATATGAATTATTTCAGCACTTTCAAAATATTCGAACCTCCCAAATGGATCGGGAACCTACCAACAACATTATAAGTCAGAAAAAATGCTTATTTGACTATCTTTACTATTCACAGCTACTCTCTTAAGCTTGTGGGGTTCCAACCTTTTATCTAACAGCTAAATGTGCAGGAACCTCGTGGACACTTACGTGAATAATTGCTTTATGTCAGAAACAGACACGTAAAACTCAAGAAGGGTTAGTTACTCTTTATTTCCCAAAATAAGAATTTAAGAGATGGCTCCTTCAGAGCGTACAGCAAAGCCTCCACTTGTGCTTGAACTTAAAGAAACAAGAAGTGAAACTTAACTAATGCTTAACTTAAAAAGATATAGCCGAAGTTATCAAGATTTGCAAGTAGTTGGCCTCTATACAGCAACTAAGCTGGCAAAGTTATCTAGGGCCGGAAATATAGCCGAGCGTAGTAATAGCTTAGGCAGAATGTAACCAAACCTTGGCAAATCTGAATGTGTGCTAGTCACAATCTTTGGCTCTTTAACGAAGAAAAAGGAACTTTGACTTAAATACCACGTTTAGTCATTTGCATTAACCACGATTCTAAAAACACACTCTGTTAGGAAATTGTAAGCTGAAATTAGGAGGGACAGGAAAGTAAAGATAACTGTTAAAAACTTGGATAAACTTTACAAGCAAGCTCATGAATAATAATAAGAAGCATTTTATTAGGAAAAAGAAATTTTATGAGAATAATTAAAATCCATATCACCAATAAAAAAGAATACACTAATCGGTAAAATGATGATTAAATATAAAATGAATCCATATATACCCAACACATATATGGTACACTCAGTCATGGGTTGGCTACTGTTACGTATAATGCTTGAAAATTCACACACACAAAAAAGTGGAAATTGTACGAAATGCTGAAACTAGGACACAGATAATCAGGAAATGCAATTATTTCTCTTATTCAAGAAAGAATGAAACTGATAGATACTAATAGTAAGATGCTTTAAATGAACACATATAACAGATCAAAAAAAGATATCAAATCCATATTGATGGATTATAATACCCTCGGCAAATCTGAAGGCCACACTCTATATACTTTTTAACTACTGTGATATAAATACTATCTGTCTGTCTACGGTAAGAACAGCTCCCGCCACGGTGACTGGCGGGTGGTGGTTGCTATAGCAACAGGGCTAGTATATTTCAAATAGGGACGAATCAAGGGTTGCTTTATTGTTAAAGTTTGGCGACGTTGGCTTAGGGGGAAAAGAGTTTATCATTAGTCTTCTCGGTTTCATTCCAGCTGCACGCATCTTTTCTTAAGCCTTATATTATTACTATTAGCGATTTTTATTCGTGTTGTTATATCTTTTGTACTGGTATTGTTCAAATTTGCTTCTATTTAGCTTAATTTTTGTAGTGCTTTGTAAATCGTCAATTTTTTAAAATGCCCTTATAGTTTAAGAAAGATCAAGCTTTAAAGTCTCAGGCACGTCAAATCGTGTATAATGTCACAGAATTTTGCGCTTCTGAAGCTTTGGCGAAATCTTTAGTAGTTCCTCTTCCTTAAGTTTTGAAGAGAACATCGCAAGCTACTGGAGTATCGGAGTATACAATTAAAAAAATTAAGCGCGAAGTATCAACAATGGGTGAAAATAAACTTCTGAATACACCTGGAAAGAAACGTAAAAGCCCTGTTAATCATAAGTGCGAAATTGACAATTTTGACAAATGCGTTATACGGCAGACAATACAAGACTTTTACATCAAAGAAAAGAAAGTGCCATCTGTGCGGAAATTACTGCCTGTCTTGTGGCAAAAAATATGACTTCCCATGGCAAAAAGACTCTTTGTGCAAAGTTTTGGTTTCAATAAATTTTTGCTGGAAGAAATGAGTTTTGGCAGCATGATACGGTTTTGGGCCACAGCCAGTTTCCCTTAGCAAGCCCTCCACAAAGGCCTCTCTCTTCTTAGGCACTTAACCCTGGAGGCTTTCCGTAATCATATAAACCAACTCAAACCACTGGTAATTAAGGAAAAAGGAGTTTTGATTTTAATTCACCTTCGCTTCCTTCCGCCATTTAATTGACCAGCTTTTGGTTTAGTTTGAAGATATGGGAAAAGAAGATATGTTCGCAAAAAGTATTTATTGAGAGCATGGGTATGTAAATAAAAACTTTTATCTTCAAGATGATTCCATATACATTTAATGATGAAATTGTTAGACATTATTAAAGCACAAGCAATAAAGTAACAGAAAATTTTGAAATAAAAACATAGCAGAACGTCATTTAAAGACTGAAGAAATTGCTTTGAATGTTCACAGTAGATTAGCTAGTGGGAATAACTATAAAAATTTAATTTATTTTACATTTATGAAGTGCGTCTATACTGTATTAGAGAATGGGGCAATCAAGTAGATTTCTAAGCAGTCATCTATGATTTTGCAAGCAAACAAATAAACAAAAAAGAAGCAACATAATAGCATGATTTTTTTTAAATGTAAACATTAAAATTTTTCTTCAAAAATAAGCACAGATTTTTAAATTTATTTCCCTACAATTTATTTTGATATATTTTTACTCATTGTACATCTAGAGGGATGGCAAATTCAGCAACTTGTACCTCACACGGCAAAATCAAAGACTGTTTCTTGACTGCAAAAGCTTTATCTATGCCATCGAATTTTTATTTTCGGAAATTGGATGTTGGGGGTCGATGTAAAGGGTCAACGAGCATTTTACTTGAAACTAAAACAAAATGTGAATATCGCCAAATCATCTTTAAATGCGCCAAGGTAGCAAACTCAGAAGCAAGTCTTCAAGACACCCCTACAAAAAATGGGTTAGGGCTCGTTTCTTTGGCAACACACAGCTGCAGACAAACTGGCGAGAGCTGTTCTTACCATAGACAGACAGTATTTTATTTATTACATATTAATTTTGGTCATCTCATTATGGCTCACTCTTATATCCCCACATGGTTCTCCTATTTTTGTAGTTCTGACAATAAATCAGAATGAGCTTTTAAATGATAAATAGCAGAAATATTGCCAATTTTAAAAATATCAAAATCTTATGTGCAAGTATATAAAATACATGCTTAATTAATAGAACAAAGTTTATATGAAACAATTTATTCTCTATTTTTCAGTTTTGAATATGCTTTTAGACACACTCAGAAATAATTAGATTGATGTCAATGGAAAATGAAAGAAATTTGCCACAGTAAATCTATTATAAAACAATGAATTATCTAATTACAAATTAATGCTAAATTCTTTTATGGGTGCCTCGCACATTTATAACATTTTGGAAGAACAACTGTTTAGTTCAATTTTTCTGCATTGTCACACGATATAAAACAACCAGTTATCATGTAAAGGGGAAACTCATCTTCAATCATGATGATGACGGTTTGGTTTGTTTTTGTTACTAAAGCAAAGCCTAAGGGAAAGAATGCTTTCGTGGAGGACTTTCTAAGGAAAACTGGCTTGTATATACGTTACACATGTATATACGTTATGTATATACATGACTTGTATATACGTTATACATGTATATACGTGTAACGTATATACATGACTTGTATATACGTTACACGGAAAACCACGAAAATGCCCATGCAGCCAGCCCGTTCACAGGTTTCGAATCTCAGACTGAATTACCAGTTTTTAGTGACTTTACCATTCGGCTTCTGGTGGGCCTCCAAGAAGATGATGAGGGATTCGATGTTGATAGCTAATTGGTAATTACAATTTTTTTTTTTTTTTTGGCTAAAGGAAGGAAAAAAATCACACATCTTTCTTTCAATGGTGAATGAGGTAAAAAAAATTATTTGAAAAAGTTGGTAATTTAAAACAAATGGATGTGTGATAAAGCCTTACAGTTTCAGTCTAAAAAAATAAAGAATTGCCAGAAATTTTGTTTCAGTTAACAAATATTTTTCTTTCTTTCTTTTTTTTTTTCCTTTTTTTTCCTTTTTTTTTTTTTTTTTTTTTTTTTTTTTTGTGTGTGTGTGTGTGTGTGTTACTGTTTAATTGTGTTATCACACAAATTAACTGAGAATACAAATGTTAACACATTATATGATATCCATATAATGGCAGTTATACATGCAAAATTTAGAAAAATAAAGCTATCTTCATTATATACAAGGTGTTTTATAGATGGGATAAACTTAGAGAGATGGTGGAGCATACTAAAACATGCATTTTTTTATAGGAATGTAGGGTCTAAATTCACGGTTTAAGGCAGGAACGGAAAAAACGACACGAGAGAAAAATATGTTTATGTACAAAACCAACGCAAAGTGCTTCTTTGTAGCAATACCGTATTCATAATAAATGTTCAAAATTGTAACCAACAGCAGTAATACATGCTTGGTAACATTGCAGAAGGGATTGACGAACATTTAGAAAAACGACAGGCATTTCACACATGCTTGCAGCCACAATGGATAGTCGTGCAACGAGGTCTTCCAGTGAGTCAACGGGAGTCTTGTAAATGATACATGCTCTTCAAATGGCCCAATAAAAAAAAAATCCAAGCTGGATAAATCTGGAGAACGGCGTATCCATCGAATGGGTCCACCACGGCCAATTTATCGGCTCTGAAATGTCCCACCCAAGTCCTTGCAGACCCACACGTGGTTATGGGCTGGTGCACCATCATGCAGGAACCACATGCGATCTTGGATGGCAGCCAGAACATCCTGTAGCATTTCCGGTAGCACCTCTTGCAGAAAAATATGATAACATAAGCCATTTGTACGTGCAGGTAAGAGGTATGGGCCTATGAGATAGTCGTTGACAATACCCGCCCATACATTCACAGAGAAGCGGGTTCGGAATGCATGTGGACGTGTGCTGTGTGGATTACGAGTTGTCCACACATGCATGTTATGGCTATTGAAGATGCCGTCCTGTGAGAAAGTTGCCTCGTCCGTGAATAGCACATCCAATGGGAAATCCGCCTGCGCCGCACACTGCTGCAAGAACAAATGACAGAAATGAACTTGAAGAGAGTAATCTGTCTCTTTCAAGACTTAGACTCTTTGCAAATGGTATGGGTGCAAACCATTTTCATGCAATACTCTCCAAATGGTGGAATGACTCAGCTGCAGACAACGTGCAATAGCTCTTATACTTGCCTGAGGTGATTCATGCACAATGTTCAAGATGGATTCTTCAATGTGAGGTTGTCGTGCACTTCTTCTTCTACTCCTAGTGTCAGAGGTGGCTGCAAATGACCGTTTTAACACAGAGACCCATGCAACCTCTCGAACATTGTGTGCTACGGCATACGCCTGTTCAGAAACCGTTCCTGGTACAACCATAGCACTGCTCTGCCGTTGACATTAGCAGCACCATACATGAGATGCATGTCAGCTTTTTCCCTGTGCGTAAACTCAGCCATCAGAGTAGTGAATGATCCTCTGATGCATGGTTTGTCCGGCTCACTACACCGCTGCACTGCCAGCCATATACAGCTGCAGTTCCTATTACTGTTACTGTTAGTGTTCCCTTTTTTGAACATTTATTGTGAATACTGTACTGCTGCAAAGAAGCACTTTGCGTTGATTTTGTACATAAACACATTTTCCTCTCATGTTGTTTTTTTGTTTCGTTCCTGCCTTAACCCGTCACTTTAGACCCTACATTCCTATAACAAAAAAAAAAAAAAAAAAAAAAAAAAAAAAAAAAAAAAAAAAAAAAAAATGCATGTTTTAGTACACTCCACCACCCCTCCAAGTTTGTCCCATGATCTATGAAACACCCTGTATTTTATTTACATCATAAAAATACATATTTCATTATATATTTGTATTTATTTCTACATCCCCCAGAGGGTATAGTGGTTAAGGGCACCTGAGGTACCTATTAGGATACCAAAGGGCCTGGGTTGAATGCCAAAGAAGGCACAGATGTTTATAAATGTAATGGTGTCTTTGCGATATGGGGGCACTCTAAATATATGGCAAGCTGAAAGTCCTCTTGTGTGGTTTGATGGTAGGAGAGAGGGATGTGATAACCTCAGATCCCCCAATCCCCCCCATTGTGCTCTCCCTCAAAACTGGAGTGGAAGAAGTCCAACTTCCTTGAAACTCTGCCAACAATTCTTTCATAAATTTCACGGCCAAGAAAACAACAACAACATTTGTTTATATTTTTTATATATATTAAATATTATATTTCCAATTGTATTTTGAATTTTTCAGCAAATATAATATAATATATATACAGTACAAAGTCCGTCGTCGGGACTTCAGCGATTCCGGATTATATATCTTCAATTTAAATCTGGTAAGATGGCATGCAGAAATTATACAATTAAAAATATGAAACCCGTGATTTATGAAATAAAGAGCAATTATGATTTAAAGGATATCAAAATTTTTCTGTTTTTCGTTGCAAGTGGGGTGTCGGAATCCACAAAAAGTTCCTTTTTTTTTGCTTATGTCATATACAGTCGACTTTCCAATGTCATACTCCTCACATAATTTTGAGACGGATATATCTTTAATCCATTTTTTTGCAACAATTCCACTTTTTGTTTGATGGACATCAAAACACGCTTTCGCTTTGTAGATCCTTTGGCAGCTTCAGAATTGGAAACTTTTTTTGACATAATCGAAAGTTCAAGTTTAATTTTTATAAAATTGCTCTAACAGTCTGCAAAAAATAATAAGCCGGATCCAATTAGAAGATTAAGGAACAGCGCAATCTGCAACATTAACTGAAATGCCTTAGAATAAGTAAAGATAATTTTAGCCTAGTTTATACCATCCGTTATACATTAAACGTGCATGCATAAAGCATACAAAAAAAAAAAAAAAAAAAAAAGTTTGTGGCTTTGAGGTCCGGATTATAGATCATTCCGGATAATGGACGTCCGGATTACGGACTTTGTACTGTATTATATATATTTGCAGAAAAATTCAAAATACAACAAAAATCTATTTAAAATGCTATCTTTTATGAACAGTTAATGTTACTGATGATTAATGTAAATATAAAAAAGAAATGCTTTCGGATATTCTTAAGTATTAAAATTTCTCTTTCTGAAAGGTTTAAAATTGTGAAGAATCTGGAAATTCTACCTAAAACAAATTTCCAGTATATGAATATGAAAATTATATTAATGACATTAATCAAAAGAAAAATTATGATAGAATAACTAGTTACATAAAAAAAAATTCACTTACAAATATATTTATTCTTTTATTTGCATGTTAACAATCAGTAATCCTGAGAAATTTTAAATATAAATCCTGACAACAGTTTCATATATAATAAGCTGTGGATACTAATGTTGACTAGTATTGGGTTGAAAGGACTTACAGACACAAATGCCAATTAGCTGACAATCATTTCATAATAAATACTAACATTTATGCGCATGCTATTATTGCCATGACTGCATTAATTACGAGTTAAGAATACGATTTATTCATGAGAGAATTACATTATGCAACATGTCATTGCAAACATGAAGAATAAACATTGATCCAGTAATTTTCCTATCAAGATTGAAAATTTTTTTTAACAACTGGGGCTGAATTCTTTCAAGAAAAATATATCTTTCATTCTGACAAAATTTTTGACAGATTTTTCTGAAACACCACAAAAATGTAACCAAGTTTTATTACTACTGAAGCTCTAAAAAGGGACTGCAATTAAAGATAGTGCCATCAGATGAACGATTTACAGAATGGAAGGTAGCTCTAAAATTTGGGCTATTTCTTTTCTGATAGCTACGAGTATTTGATTCATTTACCACTGGTGTCAAGAAAAAATTCTGTTATCTGCAACTAAGAGCGAATTGCAGTAGAACTGTCAATTTGCATAATTAAAGGTACTCTTATGTAAATTTCTGTATTTGCTTCTTTTTTTTTTCTCTTGTTCTTTGCATTTATTTTTGATTTGATAGGATAGCCATTTTTTTCTATAAAGCTGTTTTAATTCATAAGGGTTTCCATTCATGTCTTTAATTAAATTTCATGCAAACATTTACATGCAGTGCTAAGGCGACACCATTTTAAGCACAAAAAGGTCTAGAAATTGCATATATAAATAGCAAAAACCTATTATACACATAGCAAGAGTTGCACTGTAATCTAAGATGGAAAATGAAAACATTTCACTCACATGTGATTTGATGTCCATCATCTCAACTGGAGTAATCTGGGATGGATCAATAATAGGTTTAGGCCGGTTTGAATGTGGTTGAATAAGGCTTGCCCACTGAGGAGGAAGACCAACAAATTTTCCTTCTTTCCTGTCATAGCCAGTATGAACACGGTGTTCAAAATTTGTGGGTGCAGATATGATAGGCTTCTTTTTCTTTTTAGAAAACATTGTATGATACCTGCATTAAAAAAAAAAATGTTATTTGACAGATAAATATACTAACACACAGAAATTTATAAAAGGTTCACTATGAGATTGAACACCTTACAATTTTATAACTAAAATACCCCAGGACAATAAATTATTTAAATAAATATTAAATACTTTTTCTTTACATTATATTCTTACAATTCAGTCCCAACAAAGGAGAAACAATATGTTGATGTCCATCCAAAATTATTTTTTTTCTAAGGGATAAATTACAGATAAACACAAGAAGTACGTAAAGTTCTCACCCGCCATGAAAAAAAAAAAAAAAAAAAAAAAAAAAAAACAGGCAGGTTCATCAACACTAACAAATTGTCATGCCAGATCTGTGGATTGCATTAAGAATAATGCTTACAATACCTATTACTGTGGCAACTGGTGAGAGAAGCCTTAGTAAACTAAAGCTTATAAAAACATACTTACACTCATCCCTATCTTGAGACAGATTGAATTCTTTGGCAATTTTGTCCATAGAAAATGATATTACAAATAAATAAAGGTAGAAAAAGCCATGAAAATATCTGCTGAAATGTATATGGCTAGGAAAAAATGTTTTACGCAGGCTAATTTTTCATACTGTCAAGTAATGGTAGAGAAAAACGATCTTGCACATTGTATGCTTAAAAACAAATAAAATGAACTCATTTCTATAGTTTCAGTACTTTTTTCTGAAAATTTTTATGATTATACTTGAAAAGTTTCAACTTGCCGGAGTGCCAGCAAGGATAGGGCCAGCCCTGAGTAAAATACATTAATAAGTATTCAGTGGAGAAATAACTAAGAGTAAGCCATTGTTTGCAAAATTTTGCTCGGGAGATCTGAACCTATAAAATAAAAGCCATAATCATCAGTGACATAGCAAGGAGGGCAAAGGGACGACTTTGCTATGAAAAGCAAAATCCCTAGCACTGAATTAATATTAAGGAGACTAGAGGAGATTCAACTCCATAAAAACAGTGAAGCTGAAAACATCTGCAATAATACACTGTGCAGCAGCTACCTCCTGTGCAAAATATCTGCCTCACTACTCTCCATAATTCTTATTGTTTAACAACACATGCAGAACTGCTTATCTAAAAATACTTTGGATTCACAAATTTCATTCTTTGTCAGTGCATTACTGTGTCAGATGACAGATCAACAAGTGTCAACTTTCCAAACAGAGTGCAGACAACCATCCTGACTTAATGTAAGGAGATGCAAGACACACCTATACCATACTTTGTGGGATGGGGCAGCAAATTTGCCATTTGTTCCACATAGCAGAAATCTATGCAAAGCCACTGACGGCCGTCGGCCTTTTTTTTTTTTTTTTTTGCTGATTCAAATGAGTTAAAGAATTTAATCAAATCAGGATACTGTTCTATTATCAGGACTGGGTTCAGAAATATATGTATGTACAAATGTATGTGTGTGTACATATACATACAGACACATTCATACATTTCTGAATCCTATCCTAATAACAGAACAGTACCCAAATAAGATCTATAACAAACTATATGAGAAATCAGCCAAACATTAAATGCATGCTTTCAATTGTTTAAACTCTTCAGCCGTAATTCTTCTGGAAATACAAATCAATACATCCGCTAATTTTAAGATTTTTTTTTTTTACTTGAAATGTTTTTAAGTTCTATTATGTCCCAAAGTAATAAAATCACCACTTTTAAAATTTTACAGAGGAAAGCTAATATTAAATTAATTTCTTCACTATACACCTAATAATTCAGTGCAATATGATACAAAGAAAGATGAAATGATATGTTTGCTTTTCCTTTGGGATGTTTCACTGTAATATTTCTATTTTATGCTTTATTATTTGTTTCACTTTTAATCTAAGGAATTCAATAAAATATGCTCTTTAACCAGTTTTAGAATGTCTAGATAAAATTTTTAAAAATTAATAACTGCATGATCACTAAAAATATTCATAAACATTAGTTGGTAGTCTCCCTATCATGATCAAACTGATTCAACAAGACATTTTTGTCAACACATTATTCAATGCTTAAATAAACAAATTTAAGATTAAAACGTTAATTATAAAATACTTAAATATTAAATTATAAGAATAAAATTTAAAATTAATTAATCGCGCGACCACTAAAAATGTGTAAACATTAGTCCCTCCCCTTTTTTCCCTGACGGATCAAAGCAGAATGGGCAAAGTAATCCCTGTAGGATACATTCGTTACGCTCGTTCACGCATGAGATGTCCCAGATTAACAGTTTGATGGGGGGTGGGGGGAATCTCATGAACTTCTGAAGTATTGACCCTTTCCTTCAGCCGACACCGATAAAAAGAATAACGAACAAGACATACGAGCAGAGGACAGATCTTTAAACGCGCTACTTAGTAACGTAGTAACCCCTGAAAGATAAATTCTAAAAAATTTTCTTGTCGCGAATTTTCGCTTGCGTAAGTTATCAAAATACTAATGTGACATGTCTGAATTTTTTTTTTGCACTTGAGGCATTTACATCCACGAAAAGCCACATTTTTGCATAACGTTAAATGAGAAGTACATTTAAAGAATATTGAAGGAAGGCTAAATGAATGACTTCATGATAACGAGATATCAATCTGTTTAACAAAAATATTTATCTATTATTTCGGTTCAATTTTGTGAAAACTGTTTAAAAGTGCAATGAACTAATAAATCATATCTCCAACATTCATTTTAACAAAAATAATGCACGTATTTCCATGACACGCATATGATAGTCTTTCCATTTTAATAGTAGGTTATTTTTAGGCAATAACTGATGTACCATGGAAAGCGAGAGCAATGCGAAATATGACGAATATGCAAACTATGATGAAATAACATTGATAATTGTCCCGCAGAAATCTTTACGCAATGACATGAATATATTCCCTCCAACGTTAATTAATGGCTTTTAAGTATGTTTCACTTTTGTTTTCTATTACGCGTAGATTTATTATAAAATCAGTAAACAAACATTTAATTCATCCAAATAACTAAACAAGAGGTCTAAGAAAATAATATTCAAGTTTGGAGGCTAGGAAAATATTCAAATTAACACTGCCACGTGCGACATAAACAAAAAGTACTCACGATGCGCAAGTTGGCATTCCTCCGTCGCTAAGCATCATGCTGACACGAAATTTAAAAGTTAAATACACACTACTCGCACTCGTGGAATGCGCGGTCTATCCTCTGTTATGGCTCCCTGTTGCAATAGCGAAGAGCAAGCACACATCACCTCCGGCGATACCAAGGGAAAGGTATATTCTCGTGCACTAGACGAATAAACGAACCGTCGAGAGAAGAAAACGAGACGCCTCGCGACAAAAGTAACCCTGAAAACGGCCAATGGCATGAACGTACCTGCAATACAGAGATTTCATTACTCGCTTTTGTTGGCGACTTCTAAAGTTCTTCAAAATTAAACAATGAGGTTAATGTATTCTAATTTCCTGAAACATCAAACAAATTCAGATAAATATTCTAAATGAAGGCGTAGTTTGGTAGTATCGAACTAAAATTTAACTGACGTTAAGAGATAACATCAGGATTACCGCAAGAACATAATAGAATAATTTTATCTTAATAAACGAGAGGGAAAATCAGTTTGAAATTTTAAAATTGGGTAAATCTTTACTCGTGTCAGCTTTATAGAAAACTTGACACTGTAACGTCTCCTTTCTCTGAAGAACACTTGGGCACCCACCCTCAAAGACGGGACAGAGAACCCTCTTCTCGCCTCGTCCAGAAGAGGGGACCGGACTTCCCCCCCTGGTCGCAGGTGGGAGTAAGAAGAAATTGAGATGTGGAGGAGAAAAGAGCGGACGCTGGTTTGCGGGCTCTACTAGTGGTGGTGTGGTGTATTTAATTATGGCAAAGCACACTAGGGCTATCTGCCTAAGGGGAGGGATGCCTTCGTGGAGGACTTTCTAAGGGAAACTGGCTCGTATACACGTTACACATGGGGAAAACCACGAAAACACCCATGCAGCCAGCCCGTTCGCGGGATTCGAACCTCGGACCGAACTACCAGTGTTCAGCGACTTTAAGTGGTAATGAAAATGTATTTTAAAGTTTTTTTAAAATGTAATTTGTACATATAAAAATGTAATTGTATATATAAGTAAATATTTAGCCTAGAACAGGTCTTGTTTATTTGACGAAGTTACGACTATGGTACAGCACCAGCTCTCTGAACAATTTAATTACGACAGAGAGAGACGAGTAATCGATTCTCTCCATTATTGCATTCATAACTTGTTTAATCGATTATAACCAGGGATTAATTTCTAAGATTAGAAGTGCCGGAGCCCTATGGAAGACCGTCAGCAGAGAGGAACAAGAGTAAATAAATAAATAAAATGACTATTAAAACTCATTAATAATTTTAAAATTAAATAGTTAATTATTATCAAATTAATTAATAGCTATTTAATTAATTAAGGTTTATAAACTGTTATTTAATCAATAATTATTATATTATTAAATACTTATAATTTAATCGATAATTATTAGATAATTAATTATTATTTATTGAAAAATTAAAGACTGAAGTAATTAACTAATTAAAATTAAATAAAATGTAAAGAGATAAATTGAAATTTAACACACGATTTTTAATATAATTTTATTGTTAAAATAAAAAAAAATTTCGAGATAAAATTTCTACTGAAATTGTTATTCAATTACGTAAAAGAATGCCGCAGCCTTCTTATTCAGGGGTCGGTGCGTTCCGACTAGAATTATGATTTATTACAAAAACTAAGAAGCACCGGTGCCGAGATCCGGCCCAATTTAAGTTCTGATCGTAGGGAGGGGGGGGGGAATTCTTTTATCATCACAAAAATTAAATATACTTAAAAGTATAGTTGATGAAAATTCCAGGGCGAAACATAATGAGGATATGAGTGGGTGGAAACAAAAAATGAGGGGAATCTTGGTGAGAGGGAACATTTTCTTTGACCGCGGCTCTCCGTTGATATAATTATAGCCATCAAGCAGATGAGTGTCAGGGGTATATGAGTCCTGAATCGGACTCCCTAAATGTAAAGTTGCTGGTTGCGCTTCCTCCCATTAGTGGATACTGTGGGAAGACGATGTATAGGACGTGCTTGAGCAGTTTATCTCAGTATTTCACTCTTATTGTACTCGCTGTCACTTAACGCACATTTAAGAACACAAATTTTCCTTCCTGCGAGGATAACTAACTGTAATCATGGATAACAATACAATGGCATGGCGAGAAATTTAGGCATTCTCCCCCAAATTTACCCCACAAACTCCCCCAAATTTATTGCTTTTCTTAAAGGGAAAGGTCCGCATGCGAGTGATTGGACTTTACTTGAACGTCTCATGTTCTAATGAGTTCCTATTTCTAGGGAAATACACAACTGCAAAGTCTGCTTATTGTTAAACTAAAACGTTAGGAATTCTAATTTTTTTTTCCTTTTAAATGGTGATTCAGTTTAAAAAAAAAAGAAATACCGGAGCTTATCTTATTTAGGGATCCGGTGCGCTCCGGCTAAAATTGTAATTTATTTAAAAAATTGAGAAGCACCGGCGCAATTTAAGCACTGATTATAACAAAGGGGTGCGTTATATTTGAGACTGCCCAGGGTGCTAGGTCGGTCAGTATATAGTGCTATAAATTTAGTATGCTACGTTTTTGACGTTAATATTGTTTTAAAATGCTCTAGATATGCTTTGTGATCTTCAACTATCTCCATAAGGGAAGGAATACTTCTGATGAGAACTTTCAAAGGAACTGGACTAGACTATTTGACTACGGCAAGGCACTATTTATCTAAGGCCAGGGTTACCTTCATGAAGGCTTTCTAAGGTAAAACTAACTCGTATTCACGTTACACATGGAGAACCCAATGAAAACGCCTATGCAGCCAACTCATTCACCGTGGTTCGAACACACACTGAACTCCATCTGCGTCCGAGTGCTTAAAGACACCTGAATACGGGGAGACCGACTTGGGTATCCCTCTCCTTAGTCAGTTAGTCCTTGCTTGCTTTGCCATATTCGAATGACCTAACTTTACCCCAAATGAAATACCAGTGTTCAGAAATTTTATCCATTTGGCCACTAGTGTACTAACCTTCAAACGAAAGATGGTTAGCATGCATGTTACAAAAATGAAAACAAAAGTACTCGATTCACCACGCCAGTGCGCAGGGATCCAAACTCTGGTCAAAGTGTTTAGTTGGTTTTATCCACTCGGTCAACAATGAGCCCTCTCAATGCATAAATTTTAAATTTAGAATCTGATTTTTAAATATAAGTAGACAGGAAAAAATTACATTCCAAACTAAATTAGACAGACGGAAAAATAATACACTACTTTATTAGAAACTTATAAAAGTCCATAAGTTAATATGTTGCGTGCGTGCGGGTTCGTAACAGACTGAATGCACAAGTCTGATGAAAAATTAATAAAATTTATGCTTATCACAAGAAATAAAATGCTGAAATCTCCGCCACATATATTCGTACAATATCACACAGTAGTTATATTTTAAACTACTAAAACGTCAAATAGAACAAAATTCAAAGCACAAAGAAAGCTAATCTGTTCAACCGCGAATTCGCTACAATCAACAACAAAAATTTAGTTAACAACAGAACTGAGATTTTTTCTCTAGCTTTTATAAGCTTTTTAATCATGCACGAGAACATTCTGGTATTTTCTTGAGGTTTCTGGAAAGAAAAAGAGTACAATTACGAGATATCTATTTATTAAATGTTAAATGCACGTGCTCTTGTATTTTTACTTTACCAGAGCAGCTTTCTCTTAAAATTCGTCACGCTCTGCATTGCACGGGAAATAAAACAATTTTAATTACAATACTACTAAAAATAGCAACTAAATACGAAAACCGTAACAATATTAACTGAAACACATTCACAGAAATTTCTATATTTCCGATAATTTATTTCACTGTTTAAAAAGTATATCCGAGAAAAAAGCGTAAATTAATATATTATTCTATTGAAATATACTGAACTTCGGATATCTGTGCAGTGCTTCCTAGAAAAGTTCTCATGCTGATATTTGCAGAAAAAAAGGGACTGTCATATTTTGAAAAATATACTGGTACATTTGATATAGTGAATATCACTGCTAAGGCCAGGAATGAAGTTAAAACTTAAATGTTATTGTTTGAGCCCCAACTACTGGCCTAGCGGTAAAAGCCGCTGAACATTGGTAGTTTTGTTCGGGGTTTGAGTCCTGGCGAACAGGCTGGTTGCATGGGTGGTTTTCCCCATGTATAGCGTGGATACGAGCCAGTTTCCCTTGGGAAAAAAAAAAAAAAAAAAAAAAAAAAAAAAAACTTCGCAAGGCATCTTTCCCTTTCTCTGTAGTGCTCAATGCTGGAGCGCGTAATGAATAAATAAATACTATACTTACGTATTATCGCAACCATCTCGGCGATGTTAGGCTAAATTTACGGAAGAAAAAGAATTATTTTTAGCGTAAAAATTATAAGTTGCATAAATGCATATTACGGCATACGTGTTCTGTGTTTCAACTATATATTTATTCCAAAAGAAAATCGGTAAACCTAGCCACAAACGGATTTTTGTTGTGGTGGAAATTTCGTAGCCGATCGCTTTGAGAAAGAGTTCGAAGCGACAAAAGCAGTTTTCCGACAAAATAATGCATTCCTAAAGAAAGTTCACATCCCTTTCTTCTTCTTCTTCTAAAAAAAAAAAAAAAAAAAAAAAAAGTAAGCATAATTTTTCTATAAATGATTTTGGAATTTGGAATGCAATAAAAATAATGCATACGAAAATGGCGACGTTGGAAACTGAATATTTCTCTTGTGCATGGTTGCATTAAATAATTGTTATGTGCATGGCTACCAAAATTTGGAGTATTCTGATGCTTTGGCGACTTTTATTAAGGCGGTTGTGATAATACATAAGTACCATAATAAAACGTTACTTATTACTGGGAAAAAGTAATCCCTGATATTGCAAAGCAAAAACATTAAGCTGACGAAGACATAACACCATCAAAATATTATTAGCATACTTACGGTTTGAAAATATAATGACTGAAATACCGATATGTTGATGGAGAGAGACTAGATGGCTACTTTTATCAGATCAGTACATTTCAATGCCATGGCTCAAGACCAGCTAATAGAAATGCGTGTTGGATGAAAAGATAAAATAGCAAGGATGGTCATGGTGGAATACTGGAATGTATAAACAAGCGATTAACACTCAATGGGTGAACGAAGTGAGTGCAAATTTAATGACAA